TCACGACAGTTTATCATCTTTGTCCAGCACTACTAGTCCACGCCTTATTTATTTTAATAATAATAATAATAATAAATACATGCACAACAACCAGAGGTTATGAATTACAGTGCATGTACATAAGTATGTTACAAATTTCTTAAACTATGTAAATATAATCACTTACAAATCAATATGAACTAAGACTAATAGACTAACTAGACAGTGAAAGTGGAATTCCAAGTAGAGGAGTGAGTAATTGAATAGGTTTAGAGGAAGATGATAAAGAAGCGTTGATATTCATAGAAAAAGGATGGTTAGAGAATATTACACTAGGAATCACATGGCAAAGTGACGCATGAGTTCGTTCCTAAATTGCGGCGTGATCTTAATATTTCTAATCGCATGTGGCAAATTGTTCCAAAGACGTACCGTGTATACAAAAAACTGGCGTTCAGCCTTACATGCACCAACAGCATGGCTCAGCAAAAACCCATCGACGCAACAACAGCAACACTTGCGCCAGCTCTATTAGCAACAGCGCGAATTGGTGTGCGGTCCTCTTCCGGGCATTTTATGAAACTTCTAGCCCTTTTGGACAATGGCTCGCAAACATCTTTTATAAGCGAGTTTGCCGTTCAGCGCTTGCATCTACGCAAGTACCGCCTTTCGGTTACAATCTCTGGAGTAGGCGGGAGTACTGTGGGTGAATCGAAGAGTTTGGTTAAGTTCACAGTGTGTTCCCTCATCGAACCTAATTTCAGCATGGAGTGCTCTGCTCTCGTGCTTTCTCGTGTAGGACAGAATATGCCGTCGAGTAGAATTGACCCAACTCCGTACTGTGACTTTCTTGGTCTCAGCTTAGCAGACCCGAAGTTTTACGAGCCAGGGTCAATCGACATCATCATCGGAGCAGATATCTATGGCGCTCTACTGCGCAACGAACTCAAGCGTTCCAAGTGCGGGGACTCCACTGCCCAAAATACTCATCTAGGGTGGGTCGTCTACGGGCGCTTACCCGTAGGAGTAAGTCGGCAGCTATCAGCAAGACTATGTGCCACAGCCACTGCGGAACTAAATACGTTGGTACAGCAGATGTGGAAATTTAATCAAATGGATGACATATCTTCTCCATCCAAGATGACAGAGGATGAGATTTATTGTGGGGAGTTTTTTAAACGAACGGTACGCAGGGACCACGTCGGTCGGTATCACATTCGGTACCCATTTAAAAAGGACTCCGACCTATCCGCACTATTTGACTCCAAATGCGACGCAATCAAACTATATGCTTACCAGCAACATCGTCTTCAACGCGATGCAAAGATGAACGAGTTATACAATGAGTTCATGGACGAATATATCGCTCTTGGCCACATGGAGCAGATATGCGAAGATAAGGAGCCACGGTATGCATGTTACATTCCCCACCATGGTGTATACAAAGAAGGAAGCTCGACTACGAGGTTAAGAACTGTATTCAATGGGTCTAGAAAATACAAAAGTGGTTTATGTTTGAATGATTGCCTTCATGTTGGACCCAAGCTGCAAAATGACTTAAGTACAATCATATTAAAGTGGAGAATGCATCGGGTTGGGTTCATGGCGGATATAGAGAAGTGCTTTCGACAAATACGAGTCGATCGGCGGGATACCGATATGCAACGCATTATATGGAGAGGCGGAGATGAACGGCCGACCGCTTATCGACTCCTCACTATGACCTATGTGTTAACATGCTCTCCGTATATAACAATTAAAGTACTGAACACCCTAGCCGAAGACGAGGAAACAGATTTTCCAACAGCGTCCAAAATTCTTAAGGAATCTTTTTATGTGGATGATTGCCTCCATGGCGGTGACTCAGTCGAAGAAGCTATCGACAATCAATCTAAATTACGACAGTTACTGCATCGTGGGTGCTTCAACCTTCGCAAATGGAGCTCGAATTCCAACGAGTTTATGCAACATCTCTCCTCCGACGACATACAACCAGATACCTGCTGCAACTTAAATTTGGATCGGGAGACTAAGGCGCTTGGAATCTATTGGCTCTGTGACACTGATAGCCTGACATACAAAGTCAATATTACACCTGTGTCTGGATTCATTACCAAACGCCAACAACTTTCCGATGTGGCAAAAATATACGATCCCCTAGGTTTTTTAGCACCAATTGTCATAACCGGCAAGTCGCTTTGTCAGCAGCTTTGGATTTCAGGCTGAAATTGGGATGATCCGCTTCCAAACCCGATGCAGGATGAATGGCGACGATTTCGGGAAGAGCTTCATAAAGTTCAAAATCTGCGGGTTCCCAGGTGGATAGGCGTTACACCGGCAGTTGACAACTTTCAACTGCATGTTTTCTCTGACGCATCAACTTTAGCGTATGCCGCTGTTGCATATCTTCGCGTGGAAACAACAGACAGTGTATGTCGGGTGACCATTCTCACAGCTAAAACCAAGGTTGCTCCAATAAAAAAAATTACGATGCCCTGCTTGGAGTTGAATGGGGCTCTTTTGGCATCGAAGCTTGCGGCCAAACTCATTGAAACTATGCAACTTCCACTCAGTAAAATTTACTGTTGGTCAGACTCAAAAACAACTCTCAGTTGGATTCGTTCGCGGCAGGGTCAGTACAAGCAATACATCAGCAATCGAATTTCTCAAATTCAGGAACTGGTACCCATTGACTCATGGAGATACGTCCCAACTAAGGCTAATCCGGCAGACATTGCATCACGCGGAGTATTTCCATCGCAACTTGCCAATTTAGCAATGTGGTGGAACGGGCCCGATTGGCTGCATCATGGCGAAGATAAGTGGCCACAGCAGAATGTCATCACTGCATCTTCGAATCTTGAAGTCATAACATCACTAGCAACAACCGAACCGCAACAGACATATTCGCTAGCTACGCATTTACTAGAAAAATATTCGAACATCAACACTCTGCTGGCGGTGACATCTTGGTGTCGTCGATTCATTGCGGCACGCCTAAAACAACCTCATGATCGGACATAGTGGTGTACGGCAGCAGAAAGAGCTGAGGCACTACAGTTTTGGATCAGGTATGTTCAAACTATTCACTTTACTAATAAAGTTGCGTGTCTTCGTTGCAGTAAGCCATTAAGTCGTAGGAGCAAGCTACTTAAGCTTAACCCGATGATAGACGAAGACGGACTTATAAGGCTCAATGGGCGCCTTAAAAATGCGACCATACCAATATACGAACGTTTTCCCGTCATATTGCCAAAGGACAACGCCTTGTGCACATTGTTAATAGCTCAAGCCCATGAGTGTACCATGCATGGAGGAGTTCAATCAACACTTAATTTTTTAAGACGACGATATTGGATCATCGACTCTCGTTCGGCTGTCAAGCGTTATATTCACAGCTGTGTTCGTTGTATTAGAAATCGTAGCACTGCTGCAACGCAAATTATGGGTAGCCTTCCTGCGCCGCGCTGCAATATTTCAAGAGCCTTCAGTCACTGTGGGTTGGACTACGGCGGTCCTTATTCTAATCGTACTACGAAAGGCAGAGGTCACCACAGCTACAAAGGCTACGTAGCTCTCTTTGTTTGCTGTAGTACGCGAGCCGTTCATTTGGAACTCGTTAGCGACATGAGTACTGAAACGTTTCTCGCTGCGCTACGCCGATTTTTTTCTCTGCGTGGATATAGCTCTGACATATATAGTGATTGTGCTACGACTTTCGTTGGTGCGAATGCAGAGTTAAGAGAACACCACGCTGCATTGCGAAAGCAACTTGAAACAGCAGCTAGTGCTATGAGTACTCGAGGTGTTTTGTGGCAGTTTATACCTGCAGGGTCTCCGAATTTTGGAGGTATATGGGAGGCCGGCATCAAAAGCACAAAACATCATTTAAAACGCACAATAGGTAGCGCAACGCTGACGTTCGAAGAATTCTACACGGTGCTAAAGCAAATCGAAGCGGTGCTTAACTCAAGGCCGCTGTGTGCTTTGACTGATGATCCGAACGACCTATCGGCACTCACCCCTGGGCACTTTTTGGTGGGCGGGCCCATTTTAGCTACACCCGAACCTAGCCTACTCGAAGTTGATACAAGCAGACTCAAAAGGTGGAAACAAGTTCAACAAATGCAGCAAGATTTTTGGGAGCGATGGAGTTATGAATATTTACGAGAACTACAAGTCAGGCATAAATGGTTTCAACGCAAAGACAATCTGAAGGTTGGAAATTTGGTGCTGTTACGCGATGAGCGTGCTCCTCCTACTTATTGGCCGCTTGGACGCATAATTGAAGTTCATCCAGGCGACGATGGTGTCGTTCGAGTAGCAACTATACGCACAGCGTCGTCTGTTTTAAAACGTGCTATTTCGAAGTTGATTGTACTCCCAATTGAAGATGAAGGGACGCATATGGTGGGCGGCCATTCCTCTGAAATTTCGTCGCAGCAAGTGGACGAGGTGGGCGGAATGTTACGGAGGAATGCAACTCTGCGTTGATACAACCATGCGCTAATGTTCCAATGCCATATGTCAATCGCTTTATTGCTTTTTCTTTTCCTTTTTTTCTCGCTCTTCTCATACAGATCTCAGCGACAGCGAACGTGTTCATATTTCGACCTCTTAATAAAATTTGTAATTTGCAAAATAAATAAAGTTTATTTTTTCTTGTAAAGTTTAACACTAATTTTTCCCCATAAAATGTAAACAAACAATGCGTGCACAACGATTAGCAAACGACCGTGTCGTACTTATCCGTTTCTGCATCTTCTACAATTTGCCGATAACTAGCCGATAATTATAAGTGTGCCAATCTCAAATTTTCAGGGCGAGACGATAACGCAACTATGATTGGACGACAAGTGTGCAGATAGCCTTAAGGTTCGAAATTTCAGACTTTTGTATCGATACTGAGTACTCATTCTGGCATCGAGCTTATGGCATCGATACTCTTAAAGTATCAGGGAAAAAGTATCGATACTACTCAGTATCGGACTCATTAAAATACGTTTTTTGAGATACTAAAATTATTTTTATTTTTATCGTATATCTAGTTATTTCCGGAAGTTAAAACAATAGAAATATTAAATATTTGATTTTTACTTCATTGCATAACTTACTTTCACGTGAGAAGTAATTTTAACGATAAATGTACATACACTGCCGGTACAAAGTACTGGCACAGCAAATTTTTCACAATATATGCAACAATTTTCATTCTTATATTTTTCCGCTAATTTCGTATCAAAACATAGTTCATTCTACCACAAAAAACATAAAAATGTAATTCCTAAACTTTGTGCAAAACTCGCGAAAATTCAGCAAATTTTCATGATTTTTTTTTGAGTATTCAGATTTGTAGCCCAATCAATTTTATCATTATAAATTGCAAGTTTTAAGTAGCTAGGAAGTGCCGCTGATTTTTGGCAATTTTTTTTTTTCACGCAGTCTTCCATACAAAAAATTTTTCTCGAAAATACTTTATATGGAAAAAATGCAAAACACCTTCAACAAAAAAAATTCTCAAAAACCAACGCGATTTTTTACTAACTCCGAACCTGCATTTTTTTTACTCGAATTTAATGGGCTGCAAACTTAAAAAAATTGTATAAAATCTGATTAAAAAGTTGAAAATTTTGATGAAAAGTTGCTGAATTTTCGCGTGTTTTGCACAAAGTTTAGGAATTTTGTTTTTATGTTTTTTGTGGTTGCATGAACCATATTTTTAAACCAAATTTGGCGGAAAAATATTAGAATAAAAATTGTTGTATAAATTGTGAAAATTTTGCTGTGCCAATACTTTGTTCCGGCAGTGTACATACATGCATATCGTCATGTAAAGTGCAAAACCGCGTATCAGCAAAATGCAAAACCGCGTATGTGAAGTTGTAGAAGTTATTTTCTAGAGCGTAAAAACACTCATATTTCAAAATGGTTCTCTTTTTTATAATCGCATTTCTGGCTAGTATATTTCAGGGCGAATGGATAAGGATTGAGCCAAGAGCTTGTGTGAGCAAATCCATTTTTTGGCAGCCAAAGTCAGTTACGCGGTTTTGCAGAATGACGATACGCGGTTAAAAGTCAACGCGTAATATTGAAAAGGTTACAAAACTGCATACCCAAAAAGTTTCTAGAAGTTCCGAATTTTCGTGAACTTTGCGTAAAGTTTTATGGCCTTATTCATAAAAAATAAAAAAGGTTTACAAACTGAAAAATGTATGAAAACTAAAAACTTAAAAAACTAAATTATTTGGTTTATATTATGCAACAGACTACACGCAATTTCAGTTTATTTTAAGTGATGAAGAAAATTGGGTTGTCAATGGAAGAAAAAATTTTAAAAGTGTGTTTTTTGAAAAGTTTTCGAGACTACGAGTACTTTGCAAAGTATCGAGTAAAATCTCCAAATAAGGTATCGAGTATTAAAGTACTCATTTTTATACCCTCAGTATCGATACTTACTCAATATCGATAGTATCGTTCGAATCCTAGTTGCAGTTTTCTGCCATTGTCCATTATGGAAGAATACAAGTGAGATATCTTAGGGTTGACAGATAGTTGACAGGGTGTTCAATATGGCGATGACAGTGTGAACAATATGGCAGCCAATATGGCATTCAACACCGAATGGCACGAAGTTGCAAAACTACGACCCGAATGAAACGCTTCGTGAAAATCCAGGGTTGCGAAGTGGTATTTTGTTGGAAAATATAAAAGCCAGGATTTTGTGCAGCGCCGAATTTTAACAAAAGAGGGTTTTGTGTGCTCGAGATGAACAGAAAAGGGTTGCTGTGCTGTTTCGTTTTAAGCTTAAACGTATCTAATTAAATATTAAAAGGAGACAAAAATTAAAGGAAAAATTTAAAATTTGAAAATTTTAAATAAAATATATATTTTCACGAGAGACAAAGTAAATAAAATGGGTTAACTTTAGGGGAAATATACTTATCAGATTACGTTATAAATAAAAATAATTCCTACTTAAATTTTGTATAATTTTGGTGACGTATTTCTAAGCTGACCCTGAGATCTGTGAAATAATACATATTTATGTGCATACATTGTGTTGATTATTCTCTTAATCTCCAAAATAATTCTTGCAGCAATCAGCACCATTGGAAATTTTCGGAAAGTAGAAATAAACAATTAAATTTATTCAATTATTAATAAAAGAAATTGGAGACAAACGTACAATTGGGACGGTGTTTCCGCATCCGCAAACGAATGTTTGT